GCCTGCTTTAAGGTGAACAGAATATTTTAACCCTGTATATACACTTTCCGCAGTCAAAGGGTTACAATTCAAAACAAATTGATCAGCACCCACGAAAATCGTTTCACTACGCGAGCCCACGTGCAAAAGCTTCGCAAAAGCTTCGTTAAAAGATGGGAATAACCGTAATCAATCTTACCCAAAATTGTTATAAAAAAAGAAAATTAAGTTAGATAAAGACATTAAGATTCTCCCGGGGAGAAATTCGAATACTTCAAATCAAGCTTTCGACCTTCTAAAACTGCGTTTCGAACTACTGTGCGTGCACGCGTTCCATAGCACGGCAAATGGGTGTATTCAGGAGTTAGAAATCCGTATGCACTCACGAGGGGGGGTCCCCATACTCCGCAGTGAACCGTGAACGCCAGGAACGTTCACGTGTCCCCGTACACCGCGGACTTCTAATGCACGCGATCGAGGACAGGCGTGCACACACCGATCATAAAGGCACCCGCCGCCCCCGAGCATGAATATGAATGTGTACACAGAGATCAGAATGAATGGATCTGGACGCGGTCGCATGAACGGAACGCTGGACGTGAAACCGGATACGGTGGATGCGTGCGGACGCGACGAGACGCGACGCGGATTCCGAATCCCCCGCAGATGAAAACGCGGCCGTACGAAACGAGAGCGCGCCGCTGAAAACCACCCCCCCCCTTACCCGTAACCAGGTTCAGATTCAATCTACATAATGGAGAAAGCTCGAGACAATGTTTGCACGGGGGCCCTCTCGTCGACCGTGCCCCCTCCCCCTTATCTATCCCATCCAACCTCTTTCCGTCTCCGGTCCGCTGTGGATTGCCAGTAAGGGGAGTGGGATCCGGGTAGAACCAAAGAGCTTGTTAATGGGTTCATTTGGATTCGATCATCGCCTTACCTTTCTTCCATCTAGCCGTCGCCACCGATTTCCCTCTCATCGAGTCTTTACTCATTTACTCGTCTCAGTCTTTGCTTTGCCGACTCACCTCTAACTCCCGTTCTTTGTGAACCGACCGGGTTCGCCCCTCGGAGGAGGATCGAGGACGCGAAATCGACGGGGATCGTGATTGGAAGTAAGGTCAGGGGTGGGGAGATATTGATTTTTGAGAGACGAGGGTGTTTGGCGGGAATCTCGATTCGGTTTGTCGAAGGATCTAGGGATTTAATCGACGTGTACTGGTGATATTTTATTAATCGATATTTGGCAGTTTACTGGGACCGTTATTGTCGTGACTCGATAATTTTGACTGTCTCAAATTGGCGGATATTTTATGCAGCGAGTTTTCTATTTTGTTCTTTGTTCTGTATTCAATGAGATATTTAGAAGAAGAAAGAAATTCCTAGGTTTGCTCTGGTCTTTATGAATTACTTTAGAGGATCTGATTTTACATAAAAATCCGCAGAGTACTCATGACTATGTCGATACCTTGGATAAATTTCGTTTAACGACTCAGAGTTAGGCAGAATTTTATTCGAATAATACATAGTGAAAAGCAGCAGTATCTAAGGGTGGCGTCTTGAGCTTTAAACAGTTACTGAGATTAGATAATTGTTCAACAAATGTCGATTCATGCATAAAGAGGTATTATTTTATTATAAAAATTGAAATTTCCACGTTTGAACAATTAAAAATGACGAAATATTTTTTTTACCTTTTATTCGTTATTCGAAACTTTTTATCTAGATAATGAGTTTGCCCATCTCTGTTACCACCATATTCTACTAATCAATTATTCTCATGACTCAGCTATCATTGTTCCATTAACCAGGCAGATTTCACTTTTTTGTTGTCGTTTCTTCCTTGATCCCCCAATTCCCATAGCTTAATATGGACAATTTGGTTATTTTCCATCTCTATTGATATAAACACATTTGTTGCAAGAGTCCTTTTGGTAAAAAATGTTTGTTGCGATTTTACCATGAAAGATGGACGAAGCCAGAGCTCCTACCGGCTATTTTATGAACTATGGATCAAATCAGAGCTCCTAACGGCTGTTTTATGAACTAAAACGTTAAAATAGATACGTACTCAATTGCTCATTAGGGTGCAATAGATTCTGTAAATTTTTTCGTGCCACAACTCAAATAAAAGGGTGTAGCACCTGTAGGTGCCATTTCTGAAATTTATTTCTATTTTTGTTGCGGCTTAGTTACTCTTTTTCTTTCTTTGTTATAACTAGACTTAGGATTTTATGCATTTATAGCCTATAGGGGTCTGTAAAATACAATAAAGGACAGAACTTTCGTCAAGTCCAATAAATTTTTTTATTTATTTGGAACCGAATATGATACTTGAGAAAAGAAAGAAATTCCTACATTTGCTTCTTTCTGTACGAATTCCTTTAAAAAATATCATTTTGAATAAAAATCCGCAGTCTAGTTATGACACACTATTTGTGTTCTTGTTGGTCCTCAATTTCAACTGTTCTTCTTTTCCCAATTAATTTATTATAATTCTCATTTAAAACTGCCTTAGAAAATATTCCTTCGCAACCAATCACTGCACACACGTACAAGAACAATTCCCCGCCGCCGTCCCTTCGCGAAGAATCCAGAACGAGACCCTATTTACAGGTCGGCACGTTGTTCATTCCAACCGCGGTGTTTCTTCATCAATTCACCTCGCGAACCGTCTTCCGGATGAAAATTACAGAGAATATCCGGCTTTGCTTACCACGGTGACGCGGGGGGACAAACTGCATTTTCATCCGGCGCGGGTAGAATTGAATTTCCAAGAAGAATTTCATGAAGTTTACCAAAGGCAATGTATATAGGCGTGCAAGGTTCAGCGACATTACCATATGAATTCGCAATCCGAGAAACTCGCGCGCGGCCTCGTCGTTTAATCAACCCGTGATTTCATTGAAAATCTCGCGTCCAACCCCCCCCCCCGTCCCCACCCCCCGCCGTCCTAGCCCCTGAAGTGTAATCAACCGGCGATTTCATGAAAATCTCGGCCGGTTACGGTGCACCGTGCTTTTTCGCCGCGACGCGTCTACGGGCGATAATCGCCGTGGTTCTGGAGAATGAAAAGAAAAAAAAAAGTAAACACGAAGAAGAAGGAACGAGTGGAGACGAGGGGCGGAGATCCTCTGGAAGAGATCCGCTCGACTTCAGCACGCCCATCCTTTTCCGCTTCCTTCGTCCCCCATCGTGAGCGGAAAGTCCGAACGGAGAGAGGCTCTTAATAAGGTCAAGGAAGAGAGTCTCGACTGTTGCAGTCAGTTGGAATAGAAAGATCAGCGATTCTCGTACCCACCCCCCTTTCGTGCCCTACGCCCAACCGCCACCTCCTCCTGTAGTCTTGAAGCTCTTTTTCCTCTCTGATTAAAAATGTCTTAATGAACGGCGTGTCGTTTATAGGAAAGCGCTGAAAAGAGATTCGCTCGGGAAAAGTTTCAACCCCCCCTCCTCTGATTCTCTCCTTCGCGCCAGGCCGTGATATCGAACGGTGGCACGGAAATATTTACAGTATTCGATGGAATAATGGCTGAGATCGTGTTGCTGCGGTTAATGTGGTTGTAGGTTCAGATATTTGAATATACAGGGTATCGGTTATAGGTATTCGCCCCACTTCCATTTCTGCCGATTCATTAAAAAAGTGTGTCAAGCATCTTGGAAGGATTAGTTCTCTTTATATTGTAATGAAGTAATTAATGCTCAGGATTTTTTGCTGAGAATATATAATACAGTTTTGATGAAAATTCTGTACGATTCTTCAGTGGGAGGGTAAACAGTTACGAGCAATGGTGTCGTATTAGGTGCACCAGTAAGTAGTCCAGTATCTTTTGTGAAATTTTGGATTGGTTCTGATACAATTCGATACTCTGTGCTATTGATAGTATTCGTTATTTGTTTCCACTATTTTTTGGCATTTTGACTAAACACGAGATCAGATAGGTATGTTGAACTTGACCCATTAACATTTTTATAACTTATAATATGAATCCATAATCATTACTAGATTGCGGATTTTATGCATTTATAGCCTATTGAACTTTGTGAAATACAATAAATGACGACACTTTTATCCGGTCTAACGAGTTTTCTATTTTATTCTGAACTGGATAAGATACTTAAGAGGACAAAGTAAATCTCTACATTCACCCCTGTCTTTACAAATTACTTTAGAAAATCTCATTTTGCATAAAAGTTTTTTCGCCTAGGGACGGCATTACACACCAGTTATGATTGGTCTGGAATGGGTTAAGCTGTATTCCCGGTATACAGGAACCATAGTGAATTACTTATTGTTACACATAATATTTCATATCTTCGCGGTTTATTGAATTGTAGTATGTTGGAAATAGGTATCTTGAAAATAAATAAAACATTTGACGATCTATCATTGCGATAAATAGAACACATATACAGTGATTCCTCGATGAATGCGACTCAGGTTCAGCTTTAGGTAAAAAACAAATTTATGAGGGGCTGGAAATCTTTCCACCTTGCCACGAATGCCCCGAAGCGAATCGAGTATGTCGCACTCATCGAGACATTACTGTACTCGTAAAGTTTGGTTCAATATTTCAGAAACACTCTGTTTAATCATCAGCTTATATGTGTAATTCCTAAATAGATTTTAGAAAGATAGTTTTAAAAAAAATCCTTTATATCTAATAAACAATCGAGGGACAGAATTAACGTAGCGACCTGATATTTTAACACTAGAACTACCACTACTACGACTATAAATGCGTACCTATTTCGATTAGTCGATAAACATGGCAAACTTTTGAAAATTTACAAATAAACTAATTTCCTCACTTTTATATCGCAATAAAAGTTGCACAAAAATGTGAGAAATGTTATAACATTATAATTATCACTATAAGAGTGTACTGACAAGTTGGTTTGACTTGTTTGGTAATGCAAGTGTTAATTCTATCCTACGTGTACAACAACGGTTTGCTATTCGTCCAATGGAATAACATTGGAATCCAGCATGACGTATTAGAGAATGATTGGGAACGTACCTTCTTGAAGTAACCACCATGAAGACGCATGTGGCCATTGAGGGCCGGTATGTTTTTGAATTTCCGATGGCACAGATTGCATTCGACCGGTTTCGGCTCGGTTTGCGACTTGTTGGTCGCCGTGCCGGTGCCAGGGGACGCCGAATTTGCCGGCGATGAACTGCCTTTTCCTACGTTCCCGCTCCCCGGCGAATTAGCCTGCGGTTGTTGCTGCTGGTGTTGCTGTTGGGGTTGCTGCTGCTGCTGTTGCTGGGCCTGTTGCTGAGCCTGCTGCTGTTGTTGCTGAAATCAGAGGATTATTGGCATCGATTAATACTGTGGTATCATCCTAAGTATACAAGAAAAATATATATTTCTGTGACACGGAATAGACTACAGATTTTATGTACATACAAGTAGAACCATGATTATTAGAACTAATAAGAAGGAAAATCAATAGGAATCAAATAGGAAATTCTTTATTAAAGATTCCTTTAGGTTCTTAATAAAATAAAAACGTAACTGAGCTCTATTCAACTTTTCGCTTCACTAAATTTTAGACACCTGAATTTTTCTAAGAATGCATAAAATCTGGTGTCTACTTATTACTTTATAACGTTCGTAGATCTGTAAACATTAGTTAGATAAAACTTGTATTTTCTATTTATGTTAATACAACAATTAATAATACAAGAAACTTCGTAGTTCTTCTAAAGTGTAGTATAATCTAACATAAACTGTAGTATATTTTTCAATAAAGGAAATGAATTCCAAATTAATTCTCTCGTTTACACAATAAACCAGAAGGTTATCAATTTGCATAAAGATTCAAGGTCTGGTCATTGTTAGAGTATATTAGTGTTGCATGGTTATAAATTATATTCAATTCTGCGACACTGGTGTTAACGAAGCTTCAAAAGAAATCGCTTCACACCTCGACGGCACAATTAACAGAAACATCCCGCGTCCCGAAACTCTCCACCGCTTTTTCACTTTGAAGAATCGAGTGCACTCGACGAGACGATTACCATAAAATTAAATATTCTATGGAAAATCTCTTCAAACTGCACGTTTTCGTCTCAGCAGCGATAAAGACGCTCTTTTATGTTCCGTTCCTTTTTACCTTCCCTTTCAACGCGTGGAAAAATTATTCGTCTTCCAAGTTTAAAGAAAGACCGAAGAGGGAAGGTCGAACGGGGGAAGAAAGGATAACGTATTGCGGTCTTACATCTCAAACTCTGGTTCGTACGCTTTATCCCCAGTCTTATCCGCCTCAGTTTGAAAAAATGAATCTTTGAATTTTCCGCGACGAGAACGTACTTTCATCGATCGCGGAGAAAAATCGCAAAGAGTTTCGATGAAAAGTTAAAAAGAGTATTCCGCTTTAAAATGACTGCTTCATTATCTAGGATACTTATCAATGATTAAATATACTTATCATTCTAAAATTATGGTTTTCAAATTGTTCCTTTCATATGTTTTACATGGGAGTTTCGTTTGAACAGTGTTTGAAAAATTATTTTCTACTTTTTAGCGCATTTCGAAGTCGGTATATAGTTTTTAAAAAAAAGTTTTTATTTCAATATTAGTTAAGCAATAACCGCAAAAAAAATTCAGAGGGAACTAAATACTTTGGATTATTTGGAAGGCCACGATCCGAACGATCCTCTTTCAAAATCCGACCACAAGAACCCACGAAACGATTCGGTGTTCCTCGGGCCGATTCTGTTCGAGAATTTATCGCGCAACGTAATAAAAATTCTAATAAAACCCGTTTGCTTCTTTCTTCCGGCGTTTCTCCGTTTCATTCTCCCGAGATAGCAAGCTGAGATAGGGGGTGGGAACAGGGGCGATGCGTGATAATAATATGGTTGGATGGAGAACGCGGAATTCCTTCTGGCCCCCTTTTCGGTTAAGTTTTGTCGGGAGCCAGGCCATTCCTCTTCCGGCTGGTTCGAACAAACGCTGGTAACTCCGAGAACTTCGTAAGCGTTAACGGAGAAAGAGAGAGGGTAGTTCAGGGGGTAGACGTGGGAATAGCTAAGTACAGATCAAGAACGATGCACCTTGTTACGCGGCATAACGTTCTGTAATTTTTATCTGCCTCCGAGGGATACGGGGAAACACGGGGGGGGGGGGAAATGCTTGTGATATACGCGTGCTATTTGCTCTTTATACGCCTGGAGTTGTACTTTTATTTTTTTGACCCAACTGCGTTGGCGATACACGTTCACCTGATGTGAAACGGATTAAACGATCGGGGGATGTTACGGGCTGTTTTCGGGGGGGGGGGAATAAATAATTAATAATAATTGATTTGAACTGTGTTTTTCTGTTTTCATAAAGTGGAGTGGGTAGAGTGAGGATTTTATATATTGTGAATTTTTTATTACGATTAACCCTCCGTTGTCACCAAAATGTCTTTGAGGCATCATTGAAAATGGTACTACTGACGCTATGTAGTAGTAATTTGAAGTATTGGAAACTGTATTTTTCCAGAATTTTGTTTAATGTTTTAAAGAATTTATTTAAATACAATGAAACTTTTAATGTCAATTTTTAACCATGAAAATGTAATCTACGATATTCACACTTCATCTCTGAAGTTTTTGCGACTTAATTTGACGAATAGTTTTTAAACAACAGTTGACTGAATATTGGCTTGGGTCAAATTGAACCAGTGTGACAAGTACGTTTAAAAAAGGAGGTGTGACAATGGAGGGTTAATTCTTTGCTGCATAGTATGTTGCTGTAACCGTTTCTATTTTAATTTTGATTTATTGATATGTATGCATTATGCGTTTACACCCTCGTGATAACTGAATGAATACAAAAAAATTATTGCGTTTATGATACTTTGTAAAGCACAATGTGCAATGAATGAGGATAAGAAGAATTGTGGTGTTTAAGTTGTTACTTGAAGTTTTATTTAAATATATTCTGTATTGAAGAAAATTTTGTTATAACAATTATTAGATATTTTTATTAGAAATATGTATTTTCTTGTGACACGATTCTTTTTCAAATGTCTCATAGTTTACTTTATAATGAGGTACCAATGATATTTCTTTATTGTATAGAACTACAAGTGAATGTATGCTGCGGTGTAAAAGGAGAGGCGTAAACAGGTCAACGACAAAATTATAAAATTAATTGTTGTAATCCATTGTGTGAATAATGGTTAATTAATGAAATTTAAACCGGTCAAAAGAAAGTTCCAACAATAATCAGTGAAACAGGACCTTTATAGTCAGACATACAATACGAATAATGTTGCCATTAATATTTAATACACAGTGACATCGCTAATATAAGGCGTGTGTCCAGTTTCGATTTCTTAAACATAGAACAATTTTGTATCTCGTTCGATTAAATCATATCGTAACATTGCTATAAATAATCTCTGTTTAATACTTCACCGTAATTCGATGAATTTCTAACTGAGCAATTTGGTACATTAGTTTCAATATCATTAATCCAGTAATACTATTATAACCAACACATCATTATACTAACTTGATAAATTGTTGTATAATTTATCACATTTCAAGAATGAATAATGACACACCGTTATTATTCGAACTATACAAAGCGTATTGAAACACAATATCGCATTTTCGAAATTATACGATTAACCCGTTAACTGCATTTATCTACTACAGTAGACGCCTACTTTATCACTTTACTAACAATATTTGCAACATTTCTTGACGATCGTAAGTATTAAACTTCTCTAAATGAAATTCAAATATTCGATAAACGGTGTTATTGTAGTTACTGGTTTGTTATTTATCCGTGAGCAAACACATTATTTATGCAAAAACAAAATATTGTCAAAAAATCTTTTAAATAGTTTTAAAATGACTATTAGTTCCTGATTTTTTTGAAACCAAATTTTTGCACAAGATACCAAAAACTTGCAGTGAACGGGATAATTTCAAATAAATACGAAACACGTTCAATTTTATACTCTACGTGAAACATAGAAAATTCAAAGACAACAATACATTTCATATACGAGAATATAAAAAAAAAAATTGCGTACAAAATTTATCGATCAACTATCGAGCGATTGCATTGAAATAGAAGAATCCAATTATTAAATATAATTGCACTCCCGCGCAAAAGAATGCGTACATTCATCGTTCGCTATTTCGAACGAATGCACGACGCGTGAGAACATTGAACCGAAAATCTATTGTCACATCCACAGTGTGCCACTGTCCATTACGAGGAGAACCTTTTTATTTCACCGTGGCCATTTGTTATACGGATTCCAATCGGGGGCACTACAATTACCGCATTTTTACCGATTCCACGGGCTGCAAAACACAAAACAGCCAGCGATTGCGTTCCGATCCGATCACTCCGGGTGTGCCCACGACCGCCGCCGCTTGGGCTTCAAACGAAAATTAATCTTCATTTAATTTCACCGCGTAATCCCGCGGGGCGTTAATTTTCAGCGCGCCAACGGGGTGCAAAGCTGATTGATTCCGAAAGTGGACGGGGATATTCATTAATCGTCCGAATTTATTCGACAAATTCGAAACCTGCCACGATCGATTCGTCTACTACCACACAAAAGAAATAACTGGATGGAGGGGAGTAAACAAAAAAAAAAAAAAAAAAAAAAAAAAAAAAAAAAAAATTTAGCCATCCCCGGGTGAAATCGAACATCAAACATCCACCCAGCAGCGACCCTGCACGAAATCGAATCCCAAACGCATTTCGTCCGTTACCTAGTCGATTGGAGGAAGCTAGTTGGTATTCCGTCGACGATCCTCTCCGATACTTCAATAAATCATCGAACATCAAGTCTACCCGGTACTTTATCCGCGAGGAGGCCTCCTCGGGATGGCTCCATGCCTGCGCGAACTTTCCACGACAAAAGGCGACGTTACGTAGTCAGGTCCTCGCGGTGAAATCGCGTTGCTCTGGTTTTCTCTTTCCATTCAGACCAATCGTTCGTCTATGTCGGTCTCGATTCCGTTTCCCAAGCGGCTCTGTGGCGTTGGAATCGAAGGCTGTGCTTTACGTCGAGACAGACAAAGAGGGACGCGTTTTGCTTCGAAGCGTCGCGGGGCCCGCGCACGTGCGTTCTACGTGAGACGCATCCGGAGTTAAGCTCAGTCCCACACGCTTCTATCGCGCTCCGTGGAAGGAGAATGAGTGTTCGAGACCTTTTCTTTCAGGTCG